CTCTCTCTCTCTCTCTCTCTCTCTCTCTCTCTCTCTCTCTCTCTCTCTCTCTCTCTCTCTCTCTCGTTCTCTGTCTCTCTCCCTCTCTCGCTCTCTATCTCTGTCTCTCTTTCTCTCGCCATCTCCATGGACCTGAAAAGTCCTGCCATGTACGCGATCTGTAGTCGGGATTCGCTGTGTGGCGATTACATTGGGTTCAGTCGCCGCGAACGAGCAGTGTCGTGTGATCTAACAGGGATTTCTCTCCGTGAGTCCGATGTGTGATAGGGAGTCTATGACGTTCGGGGCCATTTCATCGTGACGTTTGATTGGGCCGTGTGATAAAGGCGGAGATCGCCTCTCTGTCGCGCTCTCTCTCTTGCTATCTCTTTATCTCTCTTTCTGTCTTTTATCTCGTTCGCTTCACTGCGCTTGTCTGTGTCGTTCGCACAAAGTTTGCAAACGTAACTGACAAGCGCAGACAAACGAACGAGACTGAACCAACAGCGTCGTGTTCCACCACCATCATCGTCCCCGTCGTCAGTTTTCTATCAGTGCCTCTATGTCGTTCTTCTTTTCTGTTGGCCTGCTTTCGCGACTACTCGCCCCGATCAGATGGCACACTCACACGTCCACGTGGCAGGTACTGAACAAGCTGGCCACGCATGATCAGGACTTGACACGTGGGCGTGTGTGCCGTCATGTTCAAATACCATCTTCGTCCCCGTCGTTAGTTTGTCTTCAACACCTCTATTTCATTCGTCTTATGCGTTGGCCTGTTTCTTTCACGAACTTACCTCGGGGTGCGTTTGCGGATCTTGTTCCATTGGTGACCACTCGCCCCGATCAGATGGCACACTCAAACGTCCATGTGTCCGTTCCTGGACAAGCTTGTGCACACTGATGGATGCAAGGCTCTATGCGGTAGCAGAATGTGGTCCAATATAGCCCCGCACCCATCAGCGTGGCCACGCATGCTCAGGACATGACATGCGGACGTGTGAGTGTGCCATCTGATCGGGGCGAGATGAAGGAGTTTCGGGAGCAAGAATGCATGCGTTTCATTGGCGATCACTCGCACCGATTAGATGGCACACTCAAATGTCCACGTGTCATGTCCTCAACAAGCGTGCCCACACTGATGGATGCGGGGCTCTATGCGACAACGGAATGTTGTCGAATAGAGCCCCGCATCCATCATCGTGGCCACGCATGTTCAAGAGATGTCACGTGGACATGTAAGTGTGCCATCTGATCGGAGCGAGTGGTCACCAACGAAACGGGACCCGCGAATGCAGCCCGAGAATGTTGCGACACGCCCTTTGAGATTGTGTCATCACTTTAGATGTTTTTTTGAAGTGTTACTCGCTTGTCGTCAATTTGTTGTCTTTCTCACGTACTGCGGTACAAGGATTTCTGCCGTATGTTGTCGAACACGAGAACATGGTTTCTCACGAATCGTGTTTCTTCAGGATTGCACATGGACTTTCTTCTCGCCGAATTAAATTTTAGTGCGCTCGGTTTGTTTATTCGTTTTCTGCGTAAGTCGCGTCGTGCAGTTCGCTCGGCGTTCGGTTCTGTATCCGTAAAATGTCCTCCACATTCGTTGAATTTTTCACATTTTTCACCAATCTTCCTCTCGCCGACACAAACATTTTTTTCTTATATTTCTTTTGTGTCGTTTTAGTAACGGGTCACATTGCAGACAGTCGCTCGACCGATCTCAGGTTGGTCCCCCCCTGAGTGCAATCACGGATCAGTAATCCGAAGACTGCTACGACAGATTCGAAGACACAGGAGGCGAACGTGAATTCAAATCTTTAAACCCTATCAAACCTCGTGTCAGCCGAACGCCGCGAGGAACCCTTCCGCTGACTTGGACACGGGACAGGACACGGAGCGATCAGATGCTCTTAGGGTATTGTCGACGACGACATGTTTGACGAACCAGGAGCACGACAGCCCACCCTGTCCATACCATCTTGTGGTGGCGCAACAACTGACGTATCTGAGCCACCCTTGTTAATTCCCGTTGCATAGGAGCCACAACCCACCAAAACTCACGGGGCGACCACTAACGGAGGCACCTCGGCGAAGTTCGGATTAATCCGAACCACACCAACGACAAATTTGGATTAGTCACATGCTCAGACGGTATTTTTACGACGTCGCACGTTCCGATAAACGTGAACGACGAAGTCACACGCTGTCAAAAGACCGTTCCGTCTCGGATTAATCCGAACCACACCTCCGACAGGATAGGGTCCACCCTGTGTTCACAGGTCATTGAGGAAAACACGATGTGCCGATGTCCTCCTCTTGTGGTCGGCCTAATTCGGATGCATCCGAGTCACAACGTCGGTCTTTCGACTCTGCCCATTTCGGATGTGTCCGAACTACCACATTGTCTTCGTCTTCGACCATTCGCTCTACGAAGGGCAGTCTGATGACGAGGGTTAACGATGCCTTGGATTCATGCAACTAAAACGAGTCGAGATGGTGACGCTCGTGTGGGAGAAAGACGAGCTCGAAACTTGTGCTGCGAATACAGCAAACGTGTTTGTTGTTTGGATTGGGCAAGCAACAACCAACTAAAACTTACGACGACGATGATATCCCCCGTGATGACGCACAGATTATAATGACACACTACGGCAATCGCGGGGAGGTCCGGTGTGAGGTGGGGCGACAACAAAGCGAAGCGCCTCGGCGAAGTCGGATTAATCCAAACCACACCGTTGGCATTTTCGGATTTACCACATGCGCAGAGGGTTTTGACGATGTCGAACGGTCTGATAAACTTGTACGTCGAAAGCACACGGTGTCGGCGCAGCCTGTCGTGGTCTCACGTATTGGGACAGCCTCTATCGAAATCGGATAAATCCGAGCCACACCGTGCGAAATTCGGTTGGACCCAAGGACAGCTGGGGAATAACGGAAGCTTGGATGGCTGGATGGGCGTCAGCAGACCGTGGGGTCCATCCGCCGGTCCCCGTCTCGGATTAATCCGAGCCACATTTGCGAAGTTCAGGTTCAACCGAACCGGACCTCCGGCAGGATAGGGTTAACCCAGTGCTCACACGTCGATGACAAAACACGTGCTGTAGATGGCGACCTCTTGTGGACGACCGTCTCTGGTCCGCGCTGTTCGAATTCGGATGCATCCGAGTCACAACCGTTATCGACTCAGAAGGACAAGAAAACTCGAGTTCGGTTTCGTCCGGGCCAAAAGGGGGTGGTGCACACCGCTTTGGAGCTCTGATTAATCCAAACTACAACGGCGGACTTTACAATCCACTTGTCGACTTCGGATGACAACGTATTCGTCTTCGTCTGCCGTATCAGCGTTCTAGGGCCTTCTTGCGAGGTGTTGCTTTTCCCAGTGCAGGTGCCTATGCGACATCAGTTTTTCGACCGCGCCTGCTTCGGATGTATCCGATCTATTCCACGTTCTTCATTTTCGACCATTCATTCTCTTAAGGGCAGTGTGACGCGGATGGCTCACGATGCCTCGGATTCATCCGAAACGTGCAGGACCACTGTCGTCTAACTATGACTGAACTTCGTTCTTTTGGGGTCCGGGTGACCAATAACAAAATACGTGCTGTGGGTCGTGGTTGATGTTGGGACGTGCTGATTGTTCTGAGTGAATGTGGGTTCATTTCCTCCGTGTGTGTCAGGGAATGACTTCACACGGACGAGGCCGCTCCGCTGGTGGTTCCGCCCCGCATGGAGAGGAGCGTCGAGGGACGACGTCATCGCCGGCAAGGGAAACGAGTCGAGGAGGTGGAGGTGGGGAGGAAGAACGACGTGCTCAAAACTTGTGGTGCGACTAGAGCAAACGTGTCTGGTATTTGGACTGGGCGAGCCAGGACAACTCTGGCCCGATGCAACCACCATGAGGGCCGCTCTTGTTCGTCGCCGTTCGCGCCGACAGAACGCGTCTCGCAGGGTCCATCGTCCAGTGGGTCGACGATGGCGAATACAATTTCAAGTTTACATAGAAGAATAATTACAGAAGTGATGGTTCCGTCAACGACATCGCAAAGGGATGCAAGGTTGCCAGGAGGATGTTCGGCGGGTACGGTCGTCGTGCGATGTCTTTGCCTCACTTCGTACCGCTAGCGCCGGGGCACGACGAGGCTGTTCACGTCACTGACTTCCTCGAGGTCTGCGCAAGATCTGGTACCTCTGTCATTGCCGTGGACGTCGGACCTGGAACATTGATCAGTGGTCTTGTTGGGTTCGCGGGAGGAGAGTGCTCTGAAAGGGGGATGGGAGGTCAGGGTGGCCTGCCAGCTACGCCTCCTGATCAAGAGGTGGGCATGTCAGACGACTCGGAGGACGACCATCCGCGTGCTCCTTTGAAACCGAGCTTGCATGTATCTCGCCGCCAAGGTTTGCTTGGGGAGTCGACGCCACATCGAGGGGATGATGGGGAACGGTTGCGACAGGGCTCAGAATCGACGACTCCTGGTGGTTTGGTCGAAAGGATCCGTTCGTTCGTTCGTGGCATGCAGGTGGCCGAGGTTTTGTTTGGAGATCGCGCGGGTGGTCCGCAGGTTCGAGAGGTGCGTGGGTCAGATGAGACGACTCGCCGGGCCCGACCTAGGTCTGCGCAACTGCAGACAGAGTTGAGCCAGGAACAAGAAGCAAGTGGGAACGTCGCCCGTGAGGAGGAGGTGTCCGAGCAGGGGCTGTTCCGTGAGAGATCGGCTGAAAAAACTAAGTCGGGAGGCAAGCGCAACTTGCTGGATAAGGAAGAGCGAGAAGGAGTACGTGCTCTGAAAAGGCAGAGAAAGGTAGGAGGGAGTGCTCGGACGCCAACAACACGAGAGGGTGGTTCCGTTGAAAAGAGGAAACGGGTTGGAGGTGGGGATGAAACGCCAAAAGACTCGTCGACACGGCTACGAACCGGTGAGTCTTCCGGGAAACGGTCGAAATCATTGAGGGGGAAGAAAGCAGATGAGGGCGACAGCGGGGAGGGGGATGACGACGTGGAGATTAACCTCAACGTCTTTAACCTCGACAATGCGTTTTTCCTCGACATGCAGACAGGGGTGCAGAAGGACGTCGTGTTGCACATCCATCCCGAAAGAATATTAGCTATTCCTGACTGGGAAGACGCGTACAACCACCGATCCTTGGACGAGTTCCTCGTTGATACCATCGCGTCGGCTATGATCGACTGCTACGAACGTAAAGACATGAGATACACGAAGCCCATTTTCATTCTCGCTCCGATCGTCGCGCCTCCAGAGAACGGCGAGCCTGCTGTGCGCGTGCTGCCTGCYGACTTCGACAGCTCACACCCGGAGAAATACTGGTATTATCCTGTGTGTGGACAGCATAACGCGAGGGCAGCGATGATGGTGAAAGACCATCCCGTGTTTGATTACTACAACTTCTGCAAATGGCCGTTCAGACCGATCTACTTCCCTTACGACGAGTTCGACGGCTACGCCCATGTCAGCTGCGAAGACAACATGAAAGATAAGAAGAATCCACCTCGCTTGCAGGTTTTGTGTATGCGGGACATTCGCAATATCTAGAAAATTAAGGGCAAACCGCATGTGGTGCTCGGCAATGCCTCGAGGAAACAGGACGAGGTGCGAAAGTGGTTGCGGTTCATGGCGTTGGCAATGAAGAAGACGCTGTACACGCCTATCTGGAACCTGTCAATGGAAGCAAAGAAAAGAAAGGAATGGGCTGAGAAACTTCGATACTGCCTCCCGCTGGCCATAGCAGATGACTCCGTCTTCGCTTTGGGGTTGAAGTTCTATGAGGAGTGGTCGAAAGGGAAACTCCTTGCTTCCAACGGCCGACATTGGACTGAAAAGCCGCCCACCCATGAGGAGGTGGCCAAGCCAGGACTCTCCACTGTGACTGACAGCTAGGGGCTGAAGAAACACGTCTGGTACGTGAAGGTGGACGACCCGTTGTTGAAAATCCGCAAAGAAAGAGAGGACATGATGAGGAGTCACCACGCTGCGAGAAACATCGTCCATCACCCGCGAGACTTGAGGCGCAATCGCCGTAGCGAAATGCCCCCCCCAGGCTGCTGGTGCTGTGACCCGAGCTGCACATCATCGACTGACGCACACGCGGGGAAGTGAGAAAGGAAGTTCTAAAGGTTGTCGTTCACCGCACGACACGTCGCTAAGTATTTTTCATACATGGCCTGACCCCTAGTCACAGATCGTGGATATGTCCCCTTCTCCGCAGGTAGAAGGGAAAGACATTCGTCAATGGCTAAGGCGTGCTCCTTCTCTTCAATCTCAACATCAACCCCTGATGCCTTTACATATTCTTGTTTCTTGTCGTGAATCTCGGAAGTTTCTGCAATACACGTGTCGGATATTTCGAGAAACTCCTTTTTCGAGACGACCGGACCCCTGTAAAACAGAGAACAGACATAACCCGAAATGAATATATGATTCCCAGGAGGAGTTCGACGAAAGTGACAATGTGAAAGATAATGTAGCCCACAAGATGATGGACTTCTCCAGCTAGCGAACTCGTATTTCGCAGTGACAAGCATGCGTGCATTCGGACATAAAACGACGAGTGCTGTCGAGCCCGAGACCCCAGCACATGACGATGAAGACCACATCAGGCCAAAGAAGAGGAATGCCTATCAATGCTGAAGTTTGGATTTCGGCGGAGTTGCAGCTACAACTAGCAGACACGGACCAGCCGGGTTTGGTCCTGACACTGGAACTGCGGTGACCGGAGGAAACCGGAACTTCGAAGGGTATGATTTCTAGTCCGCCGGTATCCGCACTACAAGTGCCGGCGCGAGGTGGAAAGTCGGCATTTGCTGATGTGTGGATTCCAGCGGACTTGCAGCCACGGTTCGCAAACACCGACCAACGGGGTGTGCTCCACCTTGCGCCGGCACTTATAGTTCAGATGCCGGCGGACTTCAGAACAAACCTTCCGTATTACCATTTTTCCGGCGGTTTCCGCAGTTCCAGTGTCAGGACCAAACCCGGTTCTGCGACCTGACCTGCAAGTCCGTTGAAATCCGAACTTCGACATTTGTAAACATTCGTCTTCTTTGGCGTGATGTGGTTTTTCGTCGTCATGTGCAGGGTTCTCGGGCTAGACTGCTCTCGTCGTTTTATGTGCGAATGCACACAAGCTCGTCGTTGCGAAATACGTTTATCGGACGGTCTATCTTGTAGTCCGCCGGTATCCGGACTACAGGTATCGCCCAGAGATAGAAAGTCGAGACGGCGACAGAGGACTTGTAGAGGGAGGAGCGAATGAGCGGTCGCAGAATAAAGCGTGACGGTGTGTTAAAGAACAAGAGGCCAATTGGTCCTCGCTTACAAGTGAAGTGGAATTTTGTCCATCTAACGTGGGGCATAAACCGAAACGCGGGAGTGCTGACATCGCGACGATCGTCAATGCTTACCAGCTTGTTTTTCTTTCCGCTAACTTCGTCGGCGACGTGGGCGCTGGTAAAGCGAGGACAGCCAGGGCCAGAGTGCCTACCCTGCTCTTTTTTGGGGACGTGACGTGCTGGCGGCCCCCAACACCCCCCCCCCTTCCTCCTGTGAGCGGTGACGAGGGTACCGTAAAGCACGGCTGGATGAGCGCCAAGTCCCCGACCGCGAAAGTTCCGTTGCTGACAAGGGCATCGTCTTTTGACGGGGTGGACAAAAGTGTTTGAACTTGCTCGTCGCCCAGTATGCTATCGATGACCTCGTTGACGCTAAGACGGGGAGTCGTTTTCGCCGTGCTCACTGTCATGATAGCCTCGTCGCACCCGTCGGGGGGATGCACCGTCGTGGCCTGGTGGTGGGCGTCATATTCTCCGTGGTCCACGGGAAGGCCACTAACCACCTGCATCTCCATCTCCATCGCCGTCGCGTCGTCGTCGATATCACCTTCACGTTATCTGGCGTACACCAGACCGAACGAATCAGATGTCTCCCCACAGACATCCTCGTCTCCGGCATCCACCCTTTCCTCGTCTATAATACTGAGTCCTCCTTCTTCACTGTCTTCCTCGTCGCGCAATGTAATCAACTCCTTCTCTCGCCCTTCGCCTCCTTCAACCCCCTTCTCCCATTCTCCCCCTTCTTCCCCGCCCTCGACTTTCACCCATTCTTCCCCCCCATCAGTCTCACGCGACTCGGCTCCTTGCAGCCGCATCAAGGTGGATCCCAAGGAGCGGTCGTCTATACGAACAGACGTAGCACCTTCCTCCGTCCCTGCCTCCTCCAACTGAAGGCACATCACCGACGAAGTACGGATACCGGCAGACTTCGTCGCAAGGAAGGCGGACGGCGCTGCACCAGCAATCTCTCTCTGTGACTCCGCAGATCGGCCTTGTCCAAGGGTCGGCGGCGTCGCCTCCCGCACAGCCAGGGCGGCGCCCATCTCCGACGCCTGTGCTCCTGTAGAGCTCCACTGGACCGGCACACTCGCCTGAACGTCGTCCGCCCCGGTAGGGATGCCCGCGGAGTTGCCCTTCACGGCGGAGACAGGATCCCCTGCACATGAGCCCCGCCCTGCTTCACTGGAGGAGCTGAAAGCAGTCCACGAGGGAAGGGCCGCCTGCTCCAGAGTCGTCGAAGTGCGGATGCCGGCCGACTTCGCTGCCTCCACGGGCACTGGGTCCTCTGTCTGCGAAGTTCGGATGCGGGCGAACTTCCCCGACTTGCCGCTCCCTGCTGTTGGGGAGTGTGTGACGTTCACCCCCCCTTCCCCCATGCCGTTGTGCGCGATCCTGCCCTGACCGCCAGGGCCAGGCGATGATGCCGGCGCGCTTCCCCCCGATTTCGTATGGCCACTGCCTCCGCCACCTCCTTCCTCGTGGCCACTGCCTCCCCCACCTCCGGCCCCGGGGGGGCTCGGAGGTCCTCCTCCAACACTACCTTGGGTCCCTGTCGACGGGGTTACTTTCCAGTTCACCTTTTTCTTCGAAGGGCTCGTCTCGAGGTCATAGAAATCGTCAGAGAGTTCCAACCACTGCTTGTCATGAAGTTCCCGGAACAAGCGATCAGCAATTGCAATGATGGCGGGGTCGGCGGGCTGCAGGTTGCTGTTCTCTGACGTCACTTTGTCCACCATAGCACTCCTCGCGATATCCAAGTAGTCGGACTTGGCCAGGCGCTCAGACGGCTTCCATTCCCTGTCAGTGTCGACTATGGCCATGACCCACTCCCCCTTCCGAATTGCAGGCTGGATCGTCCCCAGGTGCCAAATCATGTCATGACCCCAGTCTGCCTCCGTGGAACGCGTGTGGTCGTGCCCTTCGAAGTGGATGTTCTCATCCTTCCGAGAAGGATGTTGCAGGGGGACTTGACACCCTGGACGCAGAGGAGGAGGCGCAGCAGGCCGAGGTGTCAATCTCGCCAACAGCTTACTAGGGGTCCTCCGCACAGGCGTCGCTTGTGCGGGCTGGTTTGTTGAGGGACTCACCGACGAGGAGGCCGGGGATGGGAGCAGCGGAGCAAGGCGGTAGTCGATGTCAATTTCCTCGGTGTCGCTATCCTCCTAAGGTGCACCGGTGTCGAAGACAACACTGGTGAGGGACTCTTCGTCGGCGTCGATCAAGGCACTGTAACTCTCGAGCCTCAGGACCGGCTCGGATTCGACAAAGTACAATAACTCCAGTCGGTCCTCGAAGTTCTTCGCGTTCAGGCGCGTGGCGCCGTGATAGTTGTCTAGCAGCGCCAACATGTGTTCCTTGCGGCGCATGTACTCGATGTCGGTGCCCCTCGCAGGCCGCTTTTCTAAGAAGAGGAACTCGTAGATCCTGTTCCTTTTCCGGGCGCTTAGCTTGAACCACATGTCCGTCGAAGGATCCCAAATGCGTCTCGGCTTCTCACTCTTCGTAATGAACTTGCAGCGGTATGCTCCCGAGTTGACCGCGGTTTTCAGGAAATCCAACGTGAATTGCAACCACTTCGAATTCCCCTCCAACGCGATGACGTTGCGACCACCCTTCAAAACCTCCCACACGACTTGTGCGTGCGCTTTCCCGAGGAACATGATGTCCTCCCCCTTTTTGCAAAGGAATTCCAGCAGATGGGCGAATTGCGTGGGGTTCCGCTCATGGGCCTTGTACACCACGGGATCACGCCCATATATCACGACGGGCCATTCACAAGCGTTGAACGACATCTCGGATATCTCAGTGGGAGTCACTTTCTGATGTGCCCCCACCGCGGCAGCATCACCCGCCGCCAACCTCGCGTCATAGACAACAGATGTGTTCTCCCGCAAGCCGTCACCTTTGAAAAGGATGTACATGCAGTCGTCCAAGGAGTACAAGTTGTGGCCGACACCGAAACTTATCGGCCATTGCCTTCACGACGGACTGATGGTGCAGGTTGGTCATGAAGTAGTAATCGTGCTCACGGGGGACGAACGCGACTACTGTCCAGTGCGAGGGGAACAAGTGCTCCAGGAGGGCATTCAAACTCTCGAAGACTTTAATTGTCCACTGTTTGATGTCCACCGCTTCGCACAAGTCGAGAACGCACGTATGGCATTTCGTGATTCCGACCGCCCTCTCCAACTTCATGACCTTCATCTGCGCATCCAGAGGGTCGATGCCGAACAAGGCAATAGATGTGACGTCCTTCGAGTCGTTCCACAGAATGTGCACCATCCCTTCGGCCAGCGCGACTTCCATGCTTTTCGACCTGCTGCCGGTCAACACGGAGAGGACCTTGTTCTTCCAGTCGATGGGCAACTTCTTGTTTTGGACTAGCTTTTCTGTCGCCTTGATCGACTTGTCGTCCTCGCAACCCATGTAGGGCGGACAGTCCTTGAACAAGGAGGAGTCGCTGACAAGTTTCCTGCTCCCGTCCCACAACGCTGCATCCAGCACCTGCCCTTCGAACTTTGCTAAAATCGCCTCTCGTTTTTTCAGGAAGGGTTACTTAGTGGTCCAGGCACTATCTGGCCGGTTCTCATGTTTGAACTAGTAGTAGTTCCACAACCGCACCAATATGCGATCGGACTTCATCAGTTGCACTGCCTCGTGCATCCCCAACTTCCCTTGCTTCGCCAACGCGGAGGACCCTGTCTGCACCCAGACCACCTCGCAGTTGAGAACCTTCTTCAACAACCGGCATTTCTCATTGTCGGTAAGGGCCTCCATGCTCTTCCAACAGTGCGGATCCGGCTCGGTGACCTGGACGAACCAGTCGCCTGGCTCTTTTTCCTTCTTGCCTTTCTTTTGTGGCGCTTCGACGGGGACATTGTAGACGACTACCTTTCGCCCATCCTTCTCGTTTTCGATGTGGCTCACACCTGGCTTGAGGCCCTGCACTTTCTTCTTCTTCGCGATCCACTTCGCTCCTTCCGCTGCCAGCAGTCTGCCCGTTTCCCATCTCTCGAAAAATTCCATCCCCGTTTCCTGCCATCGCGAGCGCGAAATAAGATCGAAGGGCAGCGTTCTGTTTCTTGATTCCTTGCTCAGTCTTGTCATCGGCGAGAGTCTACAAGTGATTGTACGGCGTCTTTTGGAGCGCCTCCTCACAAAATCTTCGCCATGCCTCTACCTGCGCCTGTTTCCCGCTGGGGTTACCCATAACAGCTTTCGGGTAACCCAATTCCTTCCAACACCACCGAATGTCTCTCATGGAGAGTTTCAGCTGTCTCGGAGGGGCCTTCAGGTCTTTCTTGTTGTCCTCGGCGCTGACCAGGAAGTACCCCTCAAAGTCCTCGTCCGAGAAGTACACCATTCGTGAAGGCCAGCGCTCGAATTTGTACCTCACCGCCACATCGGTGCCAAGCAGCGCCCTGGCCGCAGCCGCGTTATGCTGGCCCGCCACAGCGTAGTAGTAGTATTGCCCTGCCAGCTCGTCCTTCCAGTCCTCGGGCTTCAGACAATCCGCCCGCACCCCGGGCGTCGGTTTAACCAGCCCGAGAGGCGCGAGCTTTAGTGTTGGCAGCTCGTAAGTCTTCTCGGTCTGAGAGTAGGCCGTCGTGATTGCGTCAATAATGTCCCGTATTCGCACAGGATCCAAGGAACGCTGATTGTATGCCGCCTCCCACTCGCCGATGTCGATGACTTGCGACGGGTTAATGGCGAACTCCCGCTTTGTTCGCACGCCGTTTTTCCATTCTAGGAAGTATGCCGCGTCGATGTCGATGACACCTCTAGGCTGGACAGGGGTCGACTGGGGTGGCTTCTGAGCCGAGGCCGGGCGCTTTTGACTCGACGCGCCGACATGCCCCTCAGCTCCCTTCCTTTTTCCCCTTGACTGTTGTGGGATCTTTGTCTTCTGCTTCTTTTTAGCTCCCGACGACTCCCCCTCATAACCTCCCCTTCTCTTTTGCGTAGACTGTTGTTCCCCTCCCTCCCCGCCGGAAACGACGCCAACTGTCCTGTCCTCCGACCCTAAGGCGCGACCACCACCCGACGTCGACGGCTGCTCGACGACCGTTGCCCCTCTCTCAGCCTCCGGAATTCTCAGCGTCCCGCGATCTCCGAGTCTATGCAGCAAAACTCGCGTGTCCTCCTCTTCCTCCTCCTCGATGTCATCGAAGCGGCCGTGTTCCTCACCCTGCTGGGGCTGTACTGAACCACCGGAACCCATTTCCTCGCCTTCAGTGGGAGCCCCACTTGAAACGAACCCTGAGCACATTTGCACAGGAAGCGACAGTTCCAAGTCGCTCGAAATTTGGCAAGGGTTGGTCGAGGTCGAAGTCGCTCTTCTCGACCTCGTCAAAAAACTTCCTGGCCAAAACAAGACCTCCCTCCGCGACTTAAGTGTAGAAAGGGGTCCTCAAAGCCCCCCCACCAAACCCCTGGAACAGATCCCACGAGAGAATCACCCCTTTCGCACCTGCCAGAACGTCGCCCTTCGAATTGTAAACGACATGCATCAGGTAGCACTGCTTGTCGTGTTTTTTCGATGGTTGCCATCCCTTGACCGAGCAGAGCACTCTTCGTCCTTTTCTATCTTCCACGAAGATAACAGGACCGCAAGGCGGTTTCATGGGCTCTCCATCTTCGGCGAAGCACCAATCGACGAACCACGATTTTGTGTTCGTCGACTCCCTCCCCGAGGTCCCTGTAGGTTGCTCCTCGCCTCTTGACGTAGACATTGTGTTTGCACCAGACGTAGCGGAGGACGCATTCGAAAACAAACAACATCGCCAACAATTAGCAAATGGGGAAGTTCGGATACCGGCGGACTACAAGCCAGGCAAATAGAAAAGCAGAACACCGCAAAGGGAAAAGCAGGTGCGCTGGGGGCGAGCGAACAGCGTATAGGGGAGTGGTGGTTGTCGACAGTTAGCGCGCAATCGGGCAGCTTTAGAACTCTTTATAGCATATGTTAGAAGTTCGGATTCCGGCGAACTTCGTCCATCGGAGGTCAAGATTGCGCACGTTTCTCATATTGCGGACCTCCTTTGTTCTTCCGGACTGGAAAATTCCAGGCCGAGAGATTGTCGGGACATGTGGTTACTATGGAAGATCACTCTACCATCGGAGAATATGTATCATGAGCGATGTCCGGAGTCCGGCGGACTTCAAAAATGTTATTCGTTAAAACAGTACATTCTTGTGTGTACTATTTTGAAACGAATTTATGACACAATGTATAGTCTGGTGGTATTCCAGATCCTGATACATCCGAACCTGGAGTAAAATCAGCTTTGAGAGGAGGAGCACAATCAGTACATATATCTGTTGCGCTCCTCTCGTGGTTAGGATGTGTCGAGATGTGGAACACCACAGCAAAGTGTATTACACTGTGTTATATGCCTCTCAGTCAATACATGTATCTGCTGCCTCAGTACGTATATCTGCTGCGCTCCTCTCCTGGTTCGGAAGTGTCCAGATGTGGAACACCACAACAGAGTAATATATTACACTGTGTTTTAACTTCACTTGGAGTTGAGCATCATACTCATCCGAATCAGAATAGTATAATGACATGAACTTGAGTTTGTGAGGAGTACAACGAGGTTTGGCTCTTCACAGACTTAGAGGAGTAGGATGACTTTTATTTAGAAGTGTGAGGACCAGAATGAATTGGAGTTCTGCACCGATGACCGTGCACATTTGAAGGGCGAGAGAGATAGAAAGAGAGAGAGAGACAGAAAGAGCGAGAGAGAGGGAGACAGAAAGAGCGAGAGACAGAGTCTAAGAGAGACCGTACTTAATTTTCTCAAGACGCCACACAGGAGGCGCAGGGTCGAGCACACGCGTAGACCATCAGCCTCGCTTCTTAAAGCATTTAAGATGATCGTTGTAGGAGAGCAGCAAGGTAATGTGAATTTCCAAGACAAGCGAAGTTCGGATGTATCCGAGATCACAGGAGATAGACAAAGAGAGGAAGTCCGCAAGAAATGATCGTGTGCATTTGAAGAGCGAGAGATATATAAAGAGAAAGAGAGACAGAAAGAGCGGTAGAAAGTCTGTCTCAAAGAGACTGTACTTCATTTTCTCGAGACGCTGCACAGAAGGCGCAGGGTTGAGCACACGCATCAGCGTCGCTTTTATAAGCATTTTAGATGATCGTTGTAGTAGAGCAGCTAGGCAATGTGAATTTCCAAGATAACCAAATTTCAGATGTATCCACAGGAAATAGACAGAGAGATGAAGTCCGGAAGAGATGGTAAAATAGCACGCTAGAGGGCTGAGAGATGGAAAAGACAAGCACCGTATAATCATCCACAACATTTCGTGTTACAGACGTATCCCAAGTGTCGAACCAGTATAGACGCTTCAGTTCGAACCTTCCCCTGTGTTTTTAGGGACACATTTCAAGAAGTATTTTTTCAGAGAAAGAGAGAGAGAGAGAGAGAGAGAGAGAGAGAGAGAGAGAGAGAGAGAGAGAGAGAGAGAGAGAGAGAGAGAGAGAGAGAGAGAGAGANAGACGCTTCAGTTCGAACCTTCCCCTGTGTTTTTAGAGACACAAATCAAAAGGTAGATTTACAGAGAAAGAGAGAGAGAGAGAGAGAGAGAGAGAGAGAGAGAGAGAGAGAGAGAGAGAGAAAGAGAGAGAGAGAGAGAGAGAGACGGGGACAGAGAGAGACAGGGACAGAGAGAGACAGTGAGAGTGTGGATAATCGCACTGAATTTTCTTTTCATGCCGACATGTCGTACAGGAGACGCATGTTCGAGGAACACGCGAAAACCACAAGTCTAGCTATACAAGAGCTGCAAGGTTTTCGTTAGGCGACAGTAAGCCAAGTTCGAATGCATCCGAGATGACTGGGGAGAGAAAGTCCGAAGCAAACAGCAAATGAGCGCACTAGACACAGCTGTGGGTGTGTGTGCGCGCGCGCGAGAGAGAGAGAGAGAGACAGAGAGAGAGAGACAGAGAGAGAGAGAGAGAGAGAGAGAGAGAGAGAGAGAGAGAGAGAGAGAGAGAGAAAAAAAGAGGGAGCGAGAAAGAGAGAGAGAGAGAGACGAAGTTGAATCTTGAAATCCTATTTTCGAAAATTGAGGACCAATCATACAGTGTTTATTTCTTCTAGAGTGCCAGCTCAATTCCGTTTGTGTCACTTTGTAGCACCAATCGGCGAGGAGGGCTAGCGCGGAGGGCCAGACGGGCCATCAAATGTATAAAGAGGCCATTGTGTTGCATTTTCGGGCCATCAAAAAGCACCCAGCGCGGAGGGCCAGACGGGCCATCAAATGTACAAAGAGGCCCTTGTGTTGTATATTTGGGCCATCAAAAAGCACCCAGCGTGGAGGGCCAGACGGACCATCAAATGAATAAAGAGGCCCTTGTGTTATATTTTCTTCTCTGTAATGTCTCACGACATTCAAAGTTAAAACGCATAGATGAGTGTAGACGATAGGGAAGGTTCGAGAGAGAGGCAGAAAAGCATAGAGATAGTTGGAGTTCGGATGCATCCGAGTTAGTGGGCAGAACATCACACCACACAAGACACAAAATGACGAAAGTGAGAAAGCCAATCACGAAACAGGCGCCCCAACAACGGGGACGTTCGCGAGAATTGAAAGCCAATGAGAAAGAACAATATTGTCGACGACCAACACGCCGGGGACATGACAATTTCACCCAGACATATCCTGTCAGTGACAGTCAGTTCTGCTCTGAACCAAACCGAGAACACCCACCAGTCTCTCTCGAAAAAAATGAAAAGGAACACATTTCGTCCGGAGAAGAACGAAATGTTCTTCTAAGTCAACTTTTCTAGAGCACATGATCAGCAAAAAGATAGACGCTTACCTACCAACATCGCAAATCGTCAAAGCTAGTCTAGCTCTGATAGAGGAGATGTGTCTATGGGAGAAACCAAAAGGTGGACGTAAACCTCTCGCCAAACAGGAAGCGAACATCAACATGAACACCCCACAACTAGCCCCGTCGTGCTGCCGAGGGACACCTTTCACGCTGACCTCGCGAGCGAAGTGGTCGAAAGTGCGACTATCACCGGCGGCACCTGCCACCGTGTTCAAAAATTTAACAGATTTATCTAAAAGTGCGGAGTAGAAGTCATCTTTGGATGACGAACACGATAAAGAATCATAGATTTCCAAAACACGTCTAGAGAAGTCAATGGCGAAAAGGCTCCAGTGTTCGCCGTCCTTGTGCACTGGTGCCAAGACGAGGTCATGAGACAGGAGGTCCACATCTTTAGCCCATCTGCTAACAACTGTCGGACCTCGCAGAAGCAATGTAGAGGCGAAGAAAGAGTTAAAGGTGTACGTCTTCTTGGCAGCAGCAGTCCGGCCGCAGTCGTCCAGTAGCATCGCCATGTAGAAATTGACGACCTCATCGTTGAGCTCCCCGGATCCATCCACGAGTGCGACGATGTCCTTGATGGATACCTGTAAATTGCGCGACGGCAAACGCTCGACGATGATAGTGAGCGGCAATCGGGAGCATATAAGGTCTTCAAGGACTGCTCTTCCATCTCGAGGAAACCCTGTTCAACAAACACCCGCAGCACACAGCAAGCACAAAGGATGGGGCACTATGAGAAAATGCCGTCCTAGCGGCCATGGCCCGACGAACCGCTACTCTGTGGCCGGAAAAGTTCACGCATAACGTCACCCCTACTTCTGGACCTTCCACACAGAATTGATTCTAAACTAGCACTGTCGTTCTCTATATCCCTGCAAGCCTCGAGAAGGATTTCCTTGCAGTCTTTTTCGGCAACACCCGCTGCCTCTGCAACGAGTCTAGCGCGAGGGCCCTATACGGGCACGACAACCCTTCTGGGAGGGCCCCGAGGTTTGATCTCCCCCGGAAACGAATCGGTGACATTGCGACGACCAGTGCCTCCCGCAACCAGGAGTGACAACCTGGCGAGGGCAGGCGGCTCCTGCGACATGTGTGTTTGTCCAAGAGCTCGTCGACCTGTACAAGAAATAGCCACCCAGACAGTTCAGCAGGAGATCAACAACACAACCTCGCAAGAGCAACCAAGCAAACAGCACCTCACGAAGCACATCGCCACAATCTAGTTGGCGGCCACCTACACACCTCCCCAAAATCGACGAAGCAAACAACACTTCACGAACGGGCTGACGAGCGGGAAGCAAGCAGAGGAAGACAGTGCTTACCAGGCTTAGCTTCCACGTCACCAGAGCGCACCGATGGCAGTCCCAGTACGATTGGCGCCTCCGTGCGCGTCGACGCGGCGACGACGTGCTCCAAACTCACAGGGAAACTTGACAGGTTCGAGATGTCGGCGTCGATGAACGGAGACGGCATGAATTCATCCCCATCCCGATGGCGGAAATCCTCCACGTCCGTGACAGGCAATTTTAGTCTGTCCGTCTCCGGACAAAGAGCGTCGACGTCCACAATATCGACAGGTTGGGTTTCCTCCATCGCCACTGTGTCGTACTATGTTGTGCTCAAGGTCCCATGGATGTCCAACAACAACTCTCCCCCCCTTAACTTCTTGTCCTCGTGCGCTGTGTCTTTATTGTCGTCACTCAAATAGAGAAATCTATCTCCAACAGCGTCAGAGGACTTCTTCAGAACGCCCTCTCCCATCGCCTCGTCGTGAAGGCCGGAGTACAAGGGGTCGCCGTATGCCGGTTGAACTTGTTGCTCCATCCCGACGTCGCCGAGTGGTAAAGCAATCCGGTCGTCGGCAGAATCGTCCTTGTCCAAAGTCGTCAGAAGTCAACAACCGTGAAGTCCTTCGACCGTGTGTCTCGGATGAATCCGAATTACGATAGTCTCCAAACCTGCATCAGGGAGGGACATGCTCACAGGACCCTAGTTCGGATTCATCCGAGCCCCCGCAGTTTCCAACGGCGACGACGTGTCCGCTTTCACCGGAGAGTCGCTTAAGACTGCTAACTCATCGCGTACCGTCACCAGGCATTCGGCTTCGAGTGTGCAGGGCTCGACATTGAAACTGGTCGCTAACTCACCCTCAGTCGGACAATCTGCCTGCAGCACCTTGTGGACTTCCATGCACAGCATTACGGCGTCGTGACACCGGTCGTCTATCATGGCGGACACGTCCTCCTGGTTCGATGAATCCGAATTTCGCCGGCAAGGTTTTCGGAAACCCGGACCACCCGTTCGAGTTCCGCAGACCGCTGTGCTCTCTCAACGGTACTGGCTTCCCGGTTCGGATTAATCCGAACTTCCTTTTGAGGCGAAACCGAACATTGTTGGAGCTTGTCGCTGCCGGATCCGTGGTATGTTGTCGTCTCGCTTTCCGGAAGGCACTGAGTTCCGGACGACGATGTCGTCTCCGAGGTTCGGATAGATCCAAGACAATCCACCAACCGTTTTTGGAGCAGAGAGAGGCAAGTTCCATTCTTTGCTACAACTGCCTCGCCAACAGCATCGGTATACTGTGTTCCGCTGGTGGAGCTAATCACAGGTTCCTGCTCGGCAGGCCGCGTAATCCACCCAGACCTGAAGTCGTTCGCCGTCTCCATTGAGGTGCTGCCTGTCACCACCAGAACCCCACCATCCTCGTCGCGGTCGACATCGGACACCTGCCCGTCTCCTCTTTGATGCTTTGTCTTCTCTCCACTGCGAGGTTTTTTCTTCTCCCGGCTGCCCTTTTTCCCCTCTCCGCCGACCTTGTGTCCCATAGACCGTTGTTTCGTTGAAGGCTGTTCACTTCCACCTCCGGTACGTCGTAGCCCGCCGCCGTCACCATTTCCTTTCGCCGTCCTTTCCGCGAGACTTGCGCTTCTCAACTCCTACCAGCGGGGTGACCGCAGGCAACTCCCAACTCACTTGCGTAATTGACGGGCTTCACGGAAGGGCGTAGAACGTAGAGGACACTTCCAACCATTTATTTGTCTGCAATAAATCGAACAGCGTGTCCCCGTATTGGCGCACAGCAGGGTCGTCCTTACTTCGTCGATTGACCTCACTTAATCTCTCCAATACCGCATCGTAGGCGCGAGATTTGAATCTCTCGAGGTCCCAACGATCGTCATATATCCATCCTCCACTTACGTCCCTCACAGCTACTGCCCATTTGTTGTCGAGAAGGACTGGCTGGAAATGGTCTGGGTGCCACACGATATCATGGCCCCAATCTTCGGCTGTGGAGAAGGTATGTTTGTCGCCCATGTGGAAGGGAGTCGCAGGAGCCTTGAGATGCGGATGGTCCGGAGGAACTGGATGGTCGGGTCGAAGACGTTCGGGTTGAAGGCGTGAGACGAATAGGCTCCCCCGGCGAACTCCTCAGACGGGACAACCCACCCCTCTTGACAGGCGCTGAGGAGGACACGGACGTGGGACCGCCCGAGGTAGGTGTAGCAAGAGGTATCCCCGGTTTGCATACTGATGGCGACTCAGAAACCTGGGCGTTGAAGATCGCCAATTTCTCGTCCAAATCGAAGAGGTCGTCCTCAACGCTCTCCTCCTGCTCAGTCTCGATATTGAAGTCGTCCTCCTCACCGAATGCCAGCTTGTACTTATCCAAAGTGAAGTCGGCCGGATCGACAACATCCTCGTTAAAAAAAACATATTTCAGCCTCTTAATGAAGCTCACAGCGCCGGCCCGACTCGCTCCGCGGTAGCTTTGGAGGACCGCAATGGTGACTTCCTTCCGCACCACGTACTGCGGGTCAAATCTCAACCTTGGTTGTTCGCCGTAAAGGAAGGAGTAGACCTGGCGCCTTTTCTTCGGAGTCAACTTGAAGAACATGTCCTTGTTCAGGTCATAAACGGGCTCGACCACGACATGGTGGAAATCGCATGGGTAAGCCTAGGACGACACTTCATGGGTGACATACTGCACGGTGTATTCGAGTTGTGTTGTATCCCCATCCATGGCCAAGACGTGCCTTCCCTGCTGAAGCAGACTCCACACCACCTGCGCGTGCGGCTTGCCCAAGAACAGCACGGCATCCGCCACACTAGAGAAGAAAAGAAGCTGATTGCACAACTGATTCGGATTTCGCTCGCCGTTTTTGTACAGAGCCCCCCTCTGGGTCAGGTTTCCGATGTCCGTGAAAGTCAAAGACTTGAAAAACTTCTCCTCCGCATCCGTGGGTGTCACTTTCTGTTTCCTCCGGAGAGCGGCGGCATCGTCTTCAGCAACAACTCCCTCGTACACCGGGTGAGTCAGTAGTCGAGGATCCTCGCCTTTGAAAAGAATGTGCATCACATCTGGCTCCTCCCAGACGCTGTTTCCGAACTGATGCGTCTTCTTCGATGCCGTCTTCCGAACCCACTGCCCCGTGTAGCATCGGGTAGCCCCAAGCGCAGACAAACATGTCATGAAGGAGAGGTTCCACATGCAGGGGACGAACACCACCAATGTCCAGTAGTCCTGACAAACGAAGCCCAACAACTCACTCAGAGACGCGAATGCCCCAAAGTCCCATTGCGCACGGTCCACAGTACCGCACAAGTCGAGCACGCAGTGTGGGAGCGTAGCTGATGCCCTAGTTTTCACAGTGCCTCCTTATGATCTATGGCACTCAATGGGTCGACGTTAAACTGGGCCAGCGTCGTCAATGCGCTTGTCCTTGTCCACATAATTTTGATGCATTCATCAACGCCCCGAGGGTTTTTTTTGCCTTTGGCGCGATCTCCAGTTATCACCGAAAGGACGACACGGTTCCACTCCGCCGGGAAATGCTGGTCGTTGACGAGGGCCGCCATTCTCTTGATGTTGTTGTCGTGTTAACACCTGTCCGTGAAAAATTTCCTGCTCTCGTTCCAAAGCTTGTCGTCGAGACCTCTGTCCTTGAACTCTCCGAACAGTTGCTTCTTGGACTTGAAGAACGTGGAGTTGGCATTCCACTCCCGCTTATCTATTTCCTCGTACTCGAACTCCACGTAGTACCACAGCCTCAGCATAATCCGGTCCATTTTTATTATGTCGACCATCTTCTTGACACTGAACTTCCCCTGCCCGGCCAACTTTTTGCTACTCGTTTGAACCCACACGACGTTAAGGTTCAAGACGCCGTTGAACAGCCTTTTCTTCTCGCGGTCCGTCAAGTCCACCAATTCCTTCCACCAGTGGACATCCGTCTCTGGAACTTGGACGTAGAAAGTTTTCTCCTCCGCGCCTTTCTTTGGCTTCCCCCTGCCTTGCAAGCAAATTGCAAGATCAACGATGAGGTGGTGAATTTCTACATGGCCCTTTTGGGGTCGACGGCATCCGCGACACGTGCACGGCCATCAGGCCTTCAAATCTTCAGTTTCAATTCTTTCTTCTTCAGTATGCTGCAACTTCGAGGACACACTGGGGTGGAGAGGTGGGCTAAAAACGTAGATCTGCTTCAATTCGATATGATCTTCGTTCCGGTGCACAAACATAACGATCACTGGATCCTCCTTTCCGTTAATTTGAGAGACAATGTCTTCGAAATTTGTGACTCTTTTCCTCACGTTAAAGCCGATTCCAGTTTCTACCTTAGTGTTTTCGAGTTGATTGTACAATATTTAGAACGTCACACCTCACATAGCCGGTCGGATAGGAGTTGGAAGACTATGGTCAGAAAAATTGTTGTGGAAGGAGTTCCAAGGCAAGTGAATGGAGCTAGTTGCGGGGTGTTCATGTTGACATTTGCAACGCTGTTGCAACGTGGTGATCGACCCCCTTTCAGATTCTCGAGTAAAGATTTGTCTGTTATTAAACGACAACTGACAACATGTCTCTTGGAATCACGTTGTCTTTGACAGTTTTCAATGACTTGTACAAAATTCTTTAAATGTATTTCATTCTATGACGATTGTATTTGGTAACATAAGACATTATTCAACTGTCTTTCTGAGTTCAACATTGTTTTCTTCATTGGGTCTGTTTCTCGTTGTCTTTGGGATGCTCGCTGTCGGTATGGCAGTGGTACTCTTTTCGTGCAGTTCAACATTGTTTTCTTGTAGTTGGATGACTTTCTCATGTGTGGACTTCGTCGCCTGAGTCTCTTGTCGTGCAGTGAAACAATTTGTGTTGCGCTCTATGATTTCTATTGCAAGTGAAACGCACGGGGCACCGACATCGAAAGTTCGTATATCGGCGGACTACAGCCTCTTCCCCCCCCCCGACAACAATCTTATGTAGGTTGTGGTACATAAGATTGTTGTCGGTGGGGGGGCGAAGAGGCTGTACTCCGCCGGCATCCGAACTTTCGATGTCGGTGCCTTGTGCGATTCACTTCCTCTGTATGTTGTGTGTGGAAAGTAAGGCGTGAAATTGGATTGTTGCCCCTTGCTTGTCACGACGGTTTGCAATTTTGCTATTTGAAGGCATTTGTGTTCTCGCGTGTCTTCTAACCCTTAAATGACGTTCTCTTAGTCTCTTTTCATGCAGTGGAACAACTCGTGTTGCGCTCTATGATTATTATTGCATGTACGACAACCTTCATAAGACTCTTGTCGGGGGTGGGGGCGAAGAGGCTGTAGTCCGCCGATATCCAGAATTTCGATGTCGGTGCCTTGTGCCATTCAATTTCTCAGTATGTTGTGTGTGGAAAGTAAGGCGTTAAATTGGATTGCTGCCCCTTGCTTCTCACGTCGGGGTGGGCGAAGAGGCTGTGCTCCGCCGGTATCCGAACTTTCGATGCTGGTGCCTTGTGCGATTCACTTTCTGTGCATGTTGTGTGTGGAAAGTAAGGCATGAAATTGGGTTGCTGCCCCTGGCCTGTCACGTCGGTTTCCAAATTTGCTACTCGAAGGCGTTTGTGCTCTCGCGTGTCTTTTAGCCCTTCAACAACGTTCTCTTAGTCTCTTTTGGTGCAGTGGAACAACTCGTGTTGCGCTCTATGATTTATATTGCATGTACAACAACATGCATAAGATCGTCGTCGGCGGGGCGAATAGGCTGTAGTCCGCCGATATCCGAACTTTCGATGTCGGTGCCTTGTGCGATTCAATTTCAGTGTATGTTGTGTGTCGAAAGTAAGGCGTGACATTGGACTGCTGCCCCTTGCTTGTCACGTCGGTTTGCAAGTTTCCTATTTGAAGGCGTTTGTGTTCTCGCGTGTCTTTTCGAATTGCTTGCCAATGACGGTGCTCGTTTGTTTTCACCTGCGCTCGTCCTGTTCTGCTTTTGTACTGCTCTTAGAATTAGTCCACTTGTGGAAATTTTTTTTGGGGTGCATGGTAGTTTTAGACACAGTCGCGAGCGTGAGATTCATCTTGCATTTCCACGTGCCGTCTGCGGTGCTGCTTGTGTTCCCGCGTGCTGTGAGTCGCCCCTGCGCCATCACGTAACGACCTCGCTGGGAGTAACTCTATGGGGGCACTGGTTTCTCTGAATTCACCGCAGTGGTCGCCTGCTGTCCAACTGCCTGTTCCGCCCCACTGCTCGGATGCACCCATAACTTTTTCCTGTTGATTGTTCCGCTGCGAGAGCGCGCCTTGCCTATATAGGCACGGGCGTGAGCTTACGCTACATCATTCACAAGCCATGTGTGAGAAATGTAAGGTCGGGGGTTCAAATCCCTTTTTCCGCTCGTATCACCGCAACGCGGCGCACTATGTGGCACCCATAAGACCAGTGCCCGACATGAAGTCGGCCTGGATTAAGGTGGCCGACCACGATGTGGGCCGGCGCACTATGTGGCACCCATAAGAGCAACGGAGCAGTAAGCGCGGTAGTTCCCTTCTGCCCTTCCTCATCTCTGCCCACCGGAACTTTCGACGTTCCAACATTCAAACACAACAAGGATTCGACGTCATTGTGTTGCTGTGATTATCCATCAATGGGGGTCACAGGTTGTGCTGCTCAAGGCACCTTGGTCATCACAATCAAGGCACCTTGCTCATCACAATCAGAAATAAGTATGGATCTCAGCACACTTATCAAACTTCTCCGACAAGGATACAATCAAAGCGCCTTGCTCATCACAATCGAAAATAAGACTTAGTATGGATCTCAGAACACTTATCAAACTTCTCCGATAAGGATACAGTCAAGGCGCCTTGCTCATCGGAATTATACATACGTATGGATCTCGACACACTTCCGCATATCAGACACACCTTGCTCATTATAAACAAGTATGGATCTCAGCACACTTTTGCATATGGGGCGAGTGGATGGGTATGCCTAGGTTGCTTAGGCTGGAGCCGAAACTGAATTCGTTTGAAAGAGGACACAATATAATGTCCTATTTTAACGAATAACGTATTAGCAGCAAAAGACCCCAAAAACTGAATATAGGACGAATTGGCGCGGTGTTTATTTCACGACCTTAAATATTTTTTTAATTTTTTTAAATATTTTTCGTAAAAAGATGACAACCTAGTCTACAGGCCTATTAATTTTCAGAGTTGTGGAGTTATGCTTCTGAGCGCAAAACATCACGGAAGTTGGGGTACTTTTTCCGTTGGCCAACACGTACAAAAATGACAAAAATGGGCAGTGCAACTAAACGGCGCGGCATTTATTTCACGGTCTAAATTTTTTTTTTTTTTTTTGATCTTTTTCCTAGAAAGATCACAACTTAATCTAGGGGATCTCAAATTTTCAGAGTTTTTCCTCAATTCGTCTGAGCACGAAAAATCGCCAGATTTGGTGCTTGAAAATTGCGGGACTGGACCCGCCTGCCACACTGTGGAACGCTAGGGTTTGGACACATAGGCACATTCTGACCTGTCAGCTGCCCGACGTCGGATACACTTCATAAAGAAGCAGTCCCCAAAACCACACAGGGACCCAATCCACCTATGTGGTTAGGGCAGTTGCGTATTTCAAATCAGCGCGTGGGTTCAAACCCCAACAACAACCATTGATAGCAAACTTAAAAATATTAATGTGTATGTGTGTGTGTGTGTGTGTGGGTGGGTGGGTGTGGGGGGTGGGTGTG